ACTGATGTAAAAATTTTCGGACGTCTTAAACTTCGCGCGTTTTCTTCGCACATCTGACAATTCCACTTAAATTTATGTCACTGACCCGCATTACCGCATAAGCTTATATGAAAACCTCCGTTCTATGACGTCCCTATCAGCGACATTAATCAAAATCCTGCTTGTCTTATTGAGCCGCATGGCAGGCAATTCAAAAGCGTTAAGAGTTCCACGCATCCTTTGGAAACTGTTTTCAAATCTATGCTCAGGATGTAAACTGTTGGCAAGCCACGAAGGAATGGTGGACTTCTTCAGGTCAATCAAACGAACCGCACCGCTTTTAAGTTACAACGGGACAACACTTCTTACGTAGAAATCGCATCTCCTGAAGTACTGGGTCGAGCCTTCACAAGCATCCTTAACCGGTCATCGACGTCGCCATCAACGAGCTCCACCAAGTGAAGCCAAACATTAATCTCGATCATCCTTCCTCACCGCAGGAGACCATCAAGGCTGTATACCGGATGCTCAGCGGCGAAGCAGCAGAAGTCGATGCAATCTCCGCGGAATCTACAAGCGCGTTGGTCTCCAGCTGATGGGCAAGGTGACTCGAGGTTTCCAGGAATTGTGCGATAAAGTTGAGTTTTTCAAGAAATCAAGGACGCAACCCTCATCCACGCTTGTATGCGCAAAGCAAGTCGACAAATCCGGGACAATCACAGAGGCGTCTTGCTAGTAATTAGTGAGAAGAATATATTTACCACATCCAACTTAACCATCTGGGCAAGAACCTAGATTAATTCTTCTCCCAGAATGTAAGCGTGGATTTCAATGAAACCGCGTAACCATCGACAAAATCTTCTCTTCCAGCTGACCACGGGAGAAATGCCGCTACTCCCGTGTATTTAACGAAAGTCTGCAACATAGTCGACCACAACGGACTCTGAAAAATAATATGGAAATTTTAATGCTGGAAAATATATTTAAATGGGCGACAATTACCCAACGAAATGCTGGCTCGAGTTATTGGGGAAATGGGACAGTATTAGAAGCATTCACAGTGAGTCAGGATCGTTCACCTACTTTAACCCTCTTTAGACTCATATTTTTCATCATTCTCATAGACACCTACCATGGGGAGCACTCTGTGATCGCCAAATGCCAGCCCATTAATAGCCGGTTCATGTAGACATCAACGCCAGTACGCATAATCACTGTTTACGACTTCGCGTTGCGGTCATCTGCGCGCCCAACATCAAGACAGATGGGAATATGCAAGGAAGCATGGATATTTTCGTCCCAGGCTGCGCAAACTTTGGACCTACTAACAGCACAGAGAAAGAATACGCTATGCCGCAGACCAAAGTTGAGGAAACTCGGCTCGCATATATAAACAAATTTGCCTGCTTAAGCAGTGCGGTCTCAGGCAACACCAGGACCATCAATAAGGTATCAAACTATCCAGACAGTCTTTTGGCTGGTTACAGGTTTCAGATTGGAATCGCCGCAAATATTGTCTCAGTAGGGCGGTAGTATTAACCACGTTAGTCTACAGACCGGAGACCCAACGTGTATACGTAAACAATCTAGAAAAACTGAATGAATTTCACCCCAGCTACCTTCAGATGATATTTCAAGGGATTAAAGTAGACAGGATCCTCGGCAGTCAGACCATGAAACAATCCGAAATTCTTAGTATTCACTGGCTACTGAGGCAAATGCAAATGCGATGGAGTGGTGGCATTACGAGGATCGATAACGATTACCTACCAAGGCGGCTATTCGTTGTCGACGTCGTCACGGACGCCAGTCGTTAGGGGAAACTCAAACGACGTTAAAATCACACCCCGAAGACCTCCCTAAACAATCGTCAAATCTGTCCGGAGACCCCGAAAACCTCACTTCAATGTCAAATCAGTGGCTTTTAAATCTCAAGCATAGCGAAGCAAAGATCACAAAATACAACATTCTCTACTGTGTCCTCGACGTCAGTGGACATTAGGCTCACGGATCTGCCTATATGGACATCTCAGAACCCCATACAAAAGAAACCTAAATCCCCACCTACCGTCTACGAAAACGTTTATGCCACTACAACTATCACGATCACCACGACATTGACGGCGATTACCACCACCGTCCTCGCGTCCATTGCCACGCTCACCACTAGCAAGTGCACACGCGATGTCCAGCTCATCAACAACACCACCACCACGATCTGTACCGTAACGTCATCCGCCAACAATACCGACTCGATTGCAACCTGTCCTTAGTGCAATCGTGCCCATACACCAGGAACTGGCCTGGTCGGCCACTTGGGAAACTAACGCCCCGAGACCAGCGAACTAGTGATGTGAGCATTAACGTATGCACATCCTGACGTGTGCCTGACTCATCTGTTCACAATGCCCCAGGATATTTAGATAAAGTGTGGGTATTCCTGGTCACATATACATGCACGAAAACGCAACTAGCCACAATGTCCACGTTACAAACCTACCTCAAACACACTTACAATCCAACAGAAGCGCTAAAAACCCCGTCACCACCATTTGCAGCACTGCGTCCACAATCAGGTTAGCAGGCCCAACCTTGCCATGTCCTTTCTGTTATCACACACGGCATGGTTTATCTCTGCGAATTCCACTTGCTGAGACTGGCGAACCCGTGCGGAGAGCACCAACGGATCCTGTCGCACTATGCCCTAATGTACACAATGTTAACGGAACATTCAGACATCGAAGACGCTTATTCGAGAACACACGCTTCTATGAAAATCAGTCATTAAAATCCCTTCTCACAAGCCTCATAATCACAACTGGCGTTACCTGCTCAAATATAAACTTTTTCCAAATCACCCACCGCATGCCCAAAACGGGCATTTTTTCATCAAGTGGCAAGCATGTTCTTTGCTCTACCCTGGTGCATATCGTTGTGATTTGGTAATGTGCCACACACGTCGAGAAACTATCGTAACTCTGATAGAAGCGAACAGGCGAGTTCCAGGTAGAAGTTCAGAAGATGAAGATGCGATCACTGGAACAAGAAATTTATTTGTCTGACGTTTCGGATCCTCGCTCGAATCCATCATCAGAGACATTCGCAGATAAGGGTGATGGTGGCACCAGGAGTGCAGTATTTATAGCACGTGGCTGCCGTGGGACAGTATGCGCACTGCAATTAACAGTTCTCGCAATCACCGCTGGGGTCGTAATTGATGCGGTGGTGGCTTGTCGGTCCGAGTTCGAGTCGTTAATTGCCGCGATTTCGTCATCCGTGATCGCATCTTCATCTTCTATCGTAACTCTGCCAACCACTGGGCCTAACGCTATTGTCAAATGTTTGGAAGGCTGTTACTTTCTAATGTCTCATAAATTAACTGCAAACTGTACATTCTTCGGGTCTATAGTCGTAGACCGAAATTTGATGCATGAACGTCTGCGCCGAAGTCCACCAGCCGCAGTGCATAACCGCGTAATATCCATTAACTGCCGACAGGCAGGTAGCAGTATACGTTAGGTTAAGGAGATATCGTACTAGCAGCACAGGGACTAGCGTTGACGGTTGACTACTGCGCGAAAGTGGAAAGAGAAAGTGAGTTGTACACTAATCAACCCATCCCCACAGCACACCAGCACATTCCCACTACAGTTAATCTGACGCAAAAGTTCGCGGCAAAAGTCACGGATGGAAGACTGTCAACTGGCAGGGGTAGTTCGGTTCTCGAGGCCAGTACTGTGTGTGGCTGGTTGGATGACTCAAAATTTTGAAATGCCAAATTACGTGAATGAAATCTTGCGGGTATTTAAGGATAATTTAGTTATATGGGGTTTATCTTACCTGTGAGGCCCTTAGCAGCGTTTTATATGTGCAAAGTGTATTTTCTGAAGTCGATAATACACACGTTCTCCCGTTCCTACCCTGCTTTCCTCGGTTATTTCCTTCTGTATGACTATGATGTCAACTTACTGTCAACCCTAATTACCTACAAGTATTTACACCACGACACATATTTTGGCGGAATTGTAGGAAAAAACATTGTGCAAAATTTGCTGCTCATTAAATCCCGATACACTCAGGATACAAAACATTCATTAATATCTAAATATTTCGAGCCGATTTCCGCATTCCTATAAAATGCTCCCTAAACCTACTTCTGTTTTCTGATGGATATTAAAAAATTCGTTTTCTCCTGTGCTTGAGATATCTATCAATACGTACGTGTTTATATGCACATGTATACATGTACAGTCGGTGATCAATCTCATGATATTTGTTTATCGTTAGAAACGAATACTTATTAATATTATTAGAATTAACATACGTTGCGACGGCTTATCAACTGCAACCTGTTGCTGCGGTTGTCCACGTGGTCCAACTGTTCACATAGGTCGGGTTTATCCCGCCGTATATAGGCTACTTCCAAGTAACGCAATATCCGAGTTGTTCGTGCCCGAACTAATACGCGGAAGGATGTGTTGGGTTTTACGTAGTGGTTGCTGTCTAGGAAGTGCATTTTGATAGAAGACCGCGAAATTTAATTCTCGTGCTTTAGATGCCATTTAGGCGGGTGCCCAACTGACCTGGCTGCTAATCGCATTTGCGTTCGCCCAATGTATTCGCTTCTACAAGCGCATGTGAATTTGTAAACAAAATTTTAGGTGGTATCGTTTGGCATGGAATCCTTTGCCCGTGGAATTAGGGTAGATTTAGTAATACTGCTGCTTATGAGTTCGACTGCATCGTACGTTTTTTAACTGGCGCATCCCATTCGCCGCTGAGCAGTTATTGAAATGCTGTCGCCCTTAAAGTGTAGAAACATTACAACGGGTTTTTTGGAACTAATTATTTCCTCAGGTTTGGCCATAAGGTGTTACTGCACTTCTGGATGAAATGTGTTGGATATCCACGTATAAGCAAAGCTGTTTTGGGCAACCAATAAGGTGATCAGTCTCCTACAAGGATGCATGGAAATTTCAATATCTACATCTCCTAATTTTTTACCAATCAACGAAAGTGAAATGTGTACCTCCATTCCCGCAGACGTCCGCAAGGGGAACAGGAGCCAAGTAAGTTAAAGGCGATATTACTGATTACGGTTGGTCACTGACTGGATGCTGACAAAAGTCTAAATCACCATCTTGATCCGCTTTAATCTCCGGAAGAGCGTATGTCAAAAAGTCAAGGAAACAGGGGCCTGAGTCATCACCTGTTGTTGCCATTTCGGCCGGAGATGAGACAGGAGATACAGGTCAACAAGCCGAATACATAGACCGTAGAGAATAATCTCACACAATCGTCGGTGGCTAAAGGTTTTCAGAAGTTGTCTCAGATTTAGACAAGTACAATTACACTTTCTAAATCATGGGACTTTTACAAGTCACTAATGGAGTAAAAATACTAAACGATGTTTGGCGGTATTTAAACTACATAATAAGGTCCAGGCCTTTCAGAAAGAATGATTAACGTTACTGGATTTTAGCCAGAGTCGATTGGAATTTGAAAATTTAGCGTGGGCATTATATGTATGTCTGACATAGCAAGCGGGATATGATTGTAAACCTTATTTAACATCTGAACCTCATTTTTCCAGATATTCGTTTTCGATTAATGTCTGCAAAAAGGTTATGGGTGACTTTCAACAGTCTTTTATAGCAATGCAGTCCAAACCCCCTGTAATCTAAGCTGTAAAGTTGATAACCAATTTCATTTAAATGGTGGCTCAAAAACTGACATGGCTCTCTTGCGACGTCCATTTTGCAGTCTCTTATGAAGTATTCGAAAATGGTAGAACAATTCCCGTGCGTTTTAACAGGAGACTGGCTGTAGGCGCGATTACTACATTTAAAGTATTCAGTCACGCAGAGTTATAAATCCAACTTTTTAAATTTACTAAGCGTCCGGCTCTCTAAGAATTAACACTGTTTACATTTTGCTTTCTTTTGGTGAACGGAAAATAAAAAATACAAATTTCATATATGGCAAGTCATTTCTACTAAGGAAATAAACAAACAACCAAAACGCGCCCCAGCCTACAAACTGGATTTGATTATCTTCGGCGCTGTCGTGATGTATCAGAACTTAAGACACATATTTTAATGTGCGATTTCTAGTCAAGGCTTTAATTGTTGAATGCCAATGATAGCAGAATAAAATACGTAGAGCTGTTTACCCTGAACTTTCAATCACAGGCCTTTTTAAGCCTTTCGCTACAAAAATGTCACTACAGACCGCAAGCCTTCTCGATGTTTCGAGATCTTTAGGGATTTTAAAAGGCTGCTAATGCAACACGTTTGTAATTGATGTGTTTATGACACATACGTAAAGTGTGCGTAAAACATTTTAAAATATAGGGTCGTCTGCGTTTTATAAACGTGTGAAGCTTGAATATCACTGGTTGACTATCTTTCTTGCGGTTGTAATTTTTGTTTTTAAATTTTATCCTTGAGAAATATGTTTGTAAACATTTTAAGGAGAGCCAGACGCATGTTAGTGGTCACTGTAAGACCTGGTGTTTATTTTTGTTGGCAGTGATGTTCTAAGATTTAAAAGGGATTCTTCTAAGTTTAGAATACACAGAGAAAAAACAATTTATAGGAACGATCCTATTTTGTTAACTCCTCCGCTTCCAACATATCCGCATTGTTATTCCGTTAAATCGCAGGTAAATTATTCTTCTCACTTCTGTTCCGCACAGAGCCATGTGAAAAAATAATTGTTGACTGTCACACAAAAGCCGATAAATCTTCTTTAATGATCGATAATACCCGCAAATATTCATGTGTATTTTATAAATGACATTTCAACTGTGTATATATGTCTTTGTATGCGTTACTTCTTGAAACACCCACCCAGGGCGCGTTATCTTGCTTGCTAACTCAAAAAGAAAATTTAGAAATCGGCTAGGCAAAATTTTTTAAATTTCAATTATAATATTTTCAAGTGAATACCCTTCCACAGAAACACCATAAGATTACTTAAAGCGCAATGTTTTCGAAGAAGTCTGGCCGTTTAATTAAACAATAAGCTACAAAGCATGATTCATGCGCCGTTGTGAACTGTTGTAATTTTGCAACTAGAGCAAGCACCCGAACACTGAAAAATATAGAAAAGTATTGAGTTATTGCCCAGTAATCAAGGAGTCTTCCAATAGTGCTTAAGTAGAATTATGGTTTCAGATTATCAGCTTTGGAATATGCAAAATAATATTGGTATCATTGCGATTTAAACATTATAACTCACATGCAGTTGATCTTAAAATAATTCGCCTAGACTGTCTTATATTAAAAGAATATCGAATGCTGACTTAGAATAGACTCCTTGATGACTTGACGAATGCCTATCAAAAGACGTTCTCAACTATACACTGATTAAACATTGATAATCCTAGTTGAACAAAACGCTTTTTCTCTGCAGAGAAATGCAATCACCGATGATGGTCGTTCATGCACTGCTACTGCTCTATATTCCACTGAGCTTGGGACTCCCTCAACCTTACGTCACCATCATCATGGAATACCACAATCTGGCTAGGAAGTCCGTGTACCCTGGCGCGGCAGACATGCAGACGATGGTAAGTGAGGACAGTTAATCCAAAATGCCAAATAGACGCGACGGGCATTATTCAGAGGAACATTTCTGACGTTCATATTTGCCTTTAGACCTACGACAAAAAATTGGAAAAACTGGCTGAGGAGTGGGTGAGCCAGTGTGTGTACGAACACCCAACATCGGAAAGATATAAGCCGTACGGCCAGAATCTGGCGGTTGCGGGAAATCGGGATCCCCTCGACAGTCTACACATTGCAATGACTCTGTGGTATGCGGAGAGAGCGGAGTATCTCGGTAAGGAAAATTACTGCTTGCAACAACCCTGCACCCATTACACTGCGGTACGTTCATTTCATTGGCAGAATTTGCAACATATGAAAAAGCACTTTCGTTAATTGTAAAAGTTTCGTTTCGTTGATATTTAACTTCCCATCAGACTTTACTGGTAGATTTGTCTCAGGTCGGCTTTTATTTCTGTCTCGCTGTAGATGATTTGGGCAAACACGACCAAAGTAGGTTGCGCCTACAATAGATGTGACCACATATTCGGCATGAAGACGTTCCTGTGGGCATGTCAATACTATCCCAGGTAAATTGAATTTACGATCAACGACCTGCATGCGAATTAGGCAGAAATGTTAGGCAAATGGCACCCGTTTAGTTTAAACGTCGTTGCATATTTATAAATTCAGAGAGAGACACGCTTTATTTTGCAAACATTATATTCCAATTTTCGTAAAAAGACTTTCACTTGGAATAGTAAAAAATGGGTACGCAAAACACATAGCATAAGTGGGCTACAGGCGATGATTGATGGCACCACGAAAACTCGCCAGTGAATAATTTTCAAAATTCGCGATAGATTTCACTTTCTTCAAAACAGTGCCAAGGTAATGTGTAGATGACTCCATTACTGTGGTCATGACATGCGAAGGGAAGAAAAATATCGGTATTTGATGTGTAAAATAGGTTAGAGCGTGCAAATATAAAAAATTTCAATAAGAATTGAGTACATCAAAAAATGGGGGCTCAGTTGAAAAATTCCGCTTTGCTTACACACTCTGGGGTGCAACGCGCCAAAGGGTTACTCAAAATAGTCAGATTTTTTTTTTAAATTTGCAAGCGTAACAGACAACAACAAGAGAAACTCTTTCGACAGTCCATCTCGATATACGCATTGGCAGCAGACGAATTCTAGCCTAGGCACAGGTATTCTTAATTCAGCCCTCTATGGCTTTACCGAAAATGCGTCTCGATTAACAGTGAACGCATTGCAACACTGCACATTATGCTGTGCACTCATTTCGCCCAAAAATGCACTCATGCTGCCTCCTTGTCAGAGCAACAGGAGATCATATTTCCGGTGACATGGGAAGTTAGTCGTGTCCCGGAAAATAAAAGGACACAAAGCGCGGGTGTTGGTAGTGGAGGAAATCGTGTACATTGCTAATCTAAGAATTCTGTCGCGAAGACGAATGCCTATGCAGATTTACAACTGAAAGTCCGTTTGCACAAGAGGCGAGCAAATTGGGGGTTGTATTCCATAACTTTTGCTCCAAGATGCTGGGTTAACGGGATTCACAGTGTTTTGACACAAATTTCTTGCTCTAGTGCCGTGCGCAATAACAGAAAGCAATGTTCTAACCATGCATTTTTAGCCATATGGGAAAGTTTGTGTTGTATGATAAAGATGTAACTTGAGATATTCGCAGTTTAGGAATTCGTTGCTAATATGTGTTCCATTATTGCTCGTGATATTTAATTAAATAAGCCCAACCAAGCGAGGTGTGCGAGACGGTACTCGACGTAATGACGTTTCGAGTTCAATTAATGACCCCGTTGTTATTTCTAAATTCCAGAGGTAATTGGATAGGCGATGAGCCGTACAGGAAGGGCAACGCCTGCTCCAAATGTCGCCGTGGACAGAAATGCAAATTGCGTCAATGTCTCTAATGCCCAAATTCTTTATTCCAAGGGAAATGGGAAAAAAAAGCCCTATACTGGTGTGGGACATGATGTTTTCTGGACATACGGAGGTGTGGGAAAATAAAATACTTAAGAAAAAGTCATTATTTTGTCGCGCGTACGCGGAGAGTCGTACATCTGAAAGCAACGATCAGACGCTACTTAGCGCCTGAAAAGATTTTCTAATGGAAGAAGTAAATTGACGGTCTGCGTTGTATATTCTGCCTTTGCTGTGTATGGACTCGCAGATCGGTGGATCAGCTAACGAATCCGCTTAATGATCAATTGTCTGATGTGATCGCAGTTTCAGTCTCGGAGTACCCGCCTCGTTAGTTGAAACTTTGATCATCCACTGAGTTCGAGACATACGACCAACTCAGTTAACATGCTTGTTGCCGGACTCAATTATATTGTCCGTAAAAAGATTTTGTTAAAGCGTGATAACGCGCAACTTCACTGTCTTTGAGATACACGCCAGTCATTTACGACTACATTAGATGTGTTAACTCATGAAATTTTTACTGAAATCCTGAAACGCGTTTGCAACTCAAAAAGATTGCTACAGTGCGATTGTAACATGCAACATTATTTCAAGATAATTAGGTTACTTCAGGATACCAGCTTCGAAGGAATATCATTACGGCCGTTCGTAAACGCTGCATTCTGTAAAAAATGACTTCTTCAGTATCAGTACGAGTATCAGTGTATTTCAGGGAAAGTACGTGTGTACCTTTGAAATCCCTATTGGTAACATAAAAGAAATACAAGGGGAATAACAAAAAATGTACAGATGAACACAGAATGTCATGCGTTAACAGAATTTAAAGGCACATGGACTCGGTTTGTTGATTAAATGCAGCAGATAAATGAAGCACACTTAAGATACAGGAAAAGAAGTAAATTATTTTAGTCTGCAGGCATCGCGGTGAGTACGAGCAGCGGTGCGCGAAGTGGTTCAAAATTAATAAATTATATAAGCATATGTTAGTTTAATGTTGGTAGTAGTATCGCCATAACACTCCGTCAGAACCATACCCCCAGTGAACTGAACGGTCTCCATAATTGTGGTTTATTCGAAGAGTTGAAGGGCCGAAGGGTTGAATCCTGTTTCGCTACTAAAAACAGACCGAAAAAATTCTGAAAGGTGATCAGCTTTCGCTCTGTCTTCAGTGAGATGTTCGCCTTCAGCACTCTTTAGCAGTGGTATTGGGTCCTTGTTCCGCGTGCACTGCCTTATGTAACCGTAGAATAATTTAGAGTTCTCCGCGGCACGGTTAAGCAGATCCCGTTTGAATTCCCTTCTAGTTTTGAGGATAAGGTCCATGAATTGATTTCTTTGAATTTTGTACGCGCTTATAGATGTGGGGCTCCTGTCAGAAAGCAATTTTTCCACAGCCGTCGTTTTTTATTTACTTCATTCTTCAAGGCTTGCGTAAGCCATCGAGGCCTGTTAGCTAACCTCTGCCGTGAAAGCGGACAGTGTTTTGCGATCAGCTCGTGCAGAATTTCTCGGAACCCTTGCTAGTATTCGAGTATGCTTCCAACAAATACGGACTCCCGCTCAATGCGTGAAATTTCAGCCCTCGTTTGGTCGAAATCCCCGCGCCAAAGGTTTCTTCAGACTGTCACGGGTTTCTCGGGCATGGGAAAGAGCGAGTAATCCCATAGAAGAACGACGTGGTCACTTTTACCTAAGGGGAGTAGGCATGGCACCTCACCAATGCTGTCCTCTGACTTCGTATCGACAAGATCATGGCAGTTGGCTTGTTGACCTTCGCGTACTCTAGTTGGTAACATGACGTGTTGAGTGAGAAATAGCTTCAGTGCCGTGTTCAGAAAACTCCTATCGAAGGTCTGTTCTGAGCTATTTGCATGGGTGGAGCTCCAGTCAATATGGGGCGCGTTAAAGTCGCCCATGATTAGGATATCCGGTCCTGTAGCGAACTTCTCGAGCTCCTCCAGCAGGCGAGCGTCGGCCATGTTGTCCCGTCTCGGCGGTCGATAAATTGTCAGGACATCAAGGCTAGGCGAGCTCGGCACTTTAATAGACGGCCAGATTGCCTCGAAATTGCACGAAAATTTATCCGTTTTGTCTGATACATTTATCCCATTTTTCACGTACGTGATTATGCCTGCTCCCTGACGCCCTTCCCTATCCCTTCTAAACATTTGGTAGCCAGGCAAGGCCAACTCACGGTCGTCCACGTGTTGAGTCAACTAGGTTTATGTTAAAGAGATTACGTCAGGGGATAGATCGCAGAGGTGGATCTTCAGCTCGTCGAACTTTGATAGCAAACTCTGCACGTTGGTGTAAAAGAATTTCAATTTCCGGCTGACGGAAGATGTGGTTACATTTTGGTGAGCGTCTACACTTAATATGTCGGCTGCTTGGGCATTCGGACCGGACCTGTCCAAAGAAAGAGTGACGGACGCCGCCGTACTTGGCAGTTGTATATTACTACATTGTCCTCCCCCTCGCTGAGCCTCTTTTGTAGTTCTAGAACTAGTTGACGACGTTTGAGCCGTTCCGATGGCGAGTAGTCCGGTTGAAAAATCACCTGGGTTGGAGTCTTTAATCCTGAATCGCCTGCAGTGAATGAGACTGGCTTGGTCGCTGCTGGCTAGTACAACTTAAGTAGGTTGGGGGCGAATTGACACTGATGGATTATCTGCTCGTTTTCCAAGGCGGAAGACTTTGATCACTTTAATAGCCTTAGTGGGTTCCAAAATATTATTGCAAAAACCTAGAAAGAGTGATAGGTCTTTCGAAACCCGCTCCATGGGATTATTTGCGCTTGATTCAGGGAGCCCCTGAATAATAAGACATTTTTCTCTGTCGGTCTCTTTTTTTATTTTCTGCGGAAGTGTGGTTCCCTAAATGGCTTAACGCACTGGGACTATGCGCTGGTGACGGTGGAGCTGATGCGCTTACGCCGTTTGTTTGTTTGACTCTTATGTTGACAACCTTGGAAGAAGCGCTTGGCAGAGAAAACGGTGGATAGGACTCTGTGGCTCTGATGGATGAATCAATTCCACCGCTCTTACTAGGTCTATCAAGCTCGGACTGTTTCGGAGAATCAGGAAAGGTGTTTGGACGCACAACCTTTGCCATGAGGGACGGAACTTCCGTCATTGTCTTTGTTTCGGCCTCTACAGAGGCATCTTCAGAAAGTAGCCGTCCGTTTTCCTTGTCATTTTTACAGTTTCATTTCTTTTTTCTTCAGCCTTTGTGTTTTTTTTCTGGCCGTTGTTTTCTCGCTTTTTAGCTATTTGTTCTGCGGCTGCCGTAATAGATGCTGGCGTGCCTATTATTCTAAGAGCTTTTGTCCTACTTCTGGTTACTCGTCCATTAGGCATATTGGTAGCGTTAACTTGGTGTATATTGCATCGCAACTGGGCTTTCATCTTTGTGACTTCTTCCTCAAGATAGTTGACCTTGACGGCCAGAATCTGGCATTCACTGCAACTTTGGCCTACATTTTCTGCATCTATACAGTCAAGGAGACTATGCGATATCGCTCGCCGCCGGGCTGCGGTGACTGGGGAATAGCGCAGTTGACTGAGTAAGGGGTGATCGCTGGACCGACTCCACACTCCGGTTCTACATTTTTGACGTCAGTGCGTACTTCAGTCACGGCGTGAAGTTAAGGAAAAGGAGCAAGCCGCAGGAATCAAAAAACGTCGCCTATGATCAAATAGGGATGACTGTGCGTATGGTTGGGTTTGTCGGAGAATTTCAAGAATGCAAGGCCTGGAGGACTTTTTAGCTAAGACTTTTTCGTAATATGCCAAGTGTACAAATCTACGCAGCTGAACAAGCAGTGTAGAAATTTTCGACTCAGCCTTTAGTAGGCCGTGTTCCAAAGGTACGGTGGTCAGTTCGAGACGATATGTAGGATTTCTAGGCTGTGTTGGCTAGGCTCAGATTGCCAAAAGAAACGGCAAGTTTTCAGAAAATTGTTCTAGTTGTACGATGAGGGCAACGATGACAGCAAGGTTGAGGGTAGTAGGCAACAATGCGTTTTGGAATCCAGTTTCTGATGCAGGACCAACTGTTTCCAGTGAGGAACTCGATCGAAAATGTCCTTCTTGCTCCTCAAAATTCAAACCGCGCGGCGCTCCCTCTTCCTTGCACGACTTTTCCTCGTTGATTTTCGGTACATTTATGAATTCAAATATATCTCATAGTGAAACGGCGTTAAAAACATGTTCATTTCTTTACTCCTTCAGCAGAAATTTACGTCTTCTTAAAAGTGTATACATGAAGGAAGGGTATAATTAGATTTTGAAGTTTCTAATTGTGAAACTTTTGGGACCATGAAGTGCCCGTTTACAAAACATCGTGTCTCGACATTTACTAATGTTGCTTTCAAAGTTTGTAATGTGCTCATATCTTCTGAAAAGTTTCATGAGCGCCTGTATGGTTCCCTCTAAATACTCTGGAGAAATGTCTAATTTTCCGTACACTTGTGAAACCTGAGTATATATGTAGTGACATGTCGTCCGGGTTTCTGACTGGAATTATAATGTGGCTCGACATCGGTAACGCTTAATCCAACCCCCATTACCTTTATTGATAATGCGTCTCGATTAGCATATTATGCTGTGCTCTCATTTCGCCTAAAATGCACTCATGCTGCCTCCTTGTCAGAGCAACAGGAGATCATGCTTCCGGGAGACATGGAAAGTTAATTGGGTTAGATGGTAGTTGGTAGCCCTCCCGGTGCCGAGAAGTCCCAGCTACCTGTCTTACGGGACCGGTGGTAATAGGGGCTATACGGGTGGGGCAAATGAGTGGAGGCGTAAATGACGCTGGTAGTGTATGCCTGGAATTGACGCTCCTGCTAAAGTGAAAGCCTAATTTAAATAAGGTGAAAAATGCAAGAAGGGTATGTAATTGAGCATGGTTAATTAGAACTGTATACGGAATAAAGGCAGCCTTACCCCAGACTGGAAAGAATAGCAACTGAAGGTGAACAACCAACGGG